TCGACAACAAGGCCTCTGATCAGGTGGTTTTGAGGAGCGTAGAACCAACTCTTAATTGATGGTGTTCCCAGGTCCGCCCTGATCGGGAGTGCTAGCACCTGTTAGGGCCCCAGCTATGGGTAAATAGTTAACCCCCAAAGTAGAGGCGAAATACTATGAAAGTGTTAAAATATGCTTTAATACCAGAGATAATTTAAAAAAAAAAAAAAAAAAAAAAAAAACAGCAGTAAATTTTTGAAGGAAAAGATTTTCAGCAATACTTAAAATTTTTTTTACCAACAATACAAACAGCTCTACATCTTTTTTTTTTAAAAAAATATTAACAGCAATATATTTTTGGAAAAATATTACCAGCAATAAAAATTGTCGGCATTAAATAATCCATTGAGGTTGATATACCGCAAAAGTAAACCAAACAAATGTGAGATATCATCAATCAAATAAAAAAAATATCTACGAGCTGTTTTCACAGAAGATGGAAAAACTAAGAAGTTGCATTGGGATACCGAAATATGCTTCCCAAAAGCTAAGCAAAGATGTAAGAACCTGGAATAAACAGTGAAAAGTGTATTGGACCGATATGTAATGTCACTGTCTTAGATGGAAGTGAAGGTTGGACAATCTCATCAAAGATAAAGAAGAAACTAGAGACAACAGAAATATGGTTCTATAGAAGAATGCTGAGGATTCCATAGGGTGAACATAACATTTTTAGGACCCATAATGAGGAAAGATGTCTTAGAAAATTTGACAAGCCCAAGGCAAATTGAAGTCAAGAGTGAAGACGGGAAAGCAGCACAAAGCTTAACTAACGAACTTGTGTAAGTGACTGACAAAATAGAAATTAAAAAAGATAACGAAAACAGTTCTACAAAGGACAGAAAATTGTGGAGAACCATGATCACTTACATCCTGAAAGGAGACATCACAAAGAAGAATATATGATGAAACGTATTTGGGGAAACATCAATAGAGCAATAGATTTAAATAAATGCTGTGAGTTGGCATATGTAATTTATATCATAAGGCAGCTTCCACAGAAAATCAACCTCTGTTAAATAAAGACGCAGATTTGTTTCTCACCAACGGTTATTGTTTATTAATAAACCACAATATTCAACAAGAGTCAGGGCATGGCTGTGTGGGCTACGAGAGAAAAGACCTGAAATTAAGATGAAGGAAATTCTAGCTCCGAATTAAAAATAAATGCTTCCATGTTTCTTTTTTCAGGTGTTTCTTTTATCAGATGATATACGTTGTAATTTCTAAGCTGTTGTGGCCTTGTTAGAAGCCAGAAGTAAAGACACAGGAGAGGAATTGAGTTAAACAAATATATTAACAGAAATAGTAATAGAAACGACAGTGTTACAACAAGAATGTTCGGTCAGACTGTCAGAGCTGATTGCTGGAAAACTTTCCTCTACAAAAGGCAGGGCCTATTTATAGCTAGGTGAGTCCATGCGTGCGTGTGTAAATTACCATAACACAACCGAACACTTTATTTAGTCCACGGGGGTAGATTGATCTAATTTCACACTCCTTACCATTGTTTCAGTTCATTCCCTTTAGTAACTAGACCCTCCATGTCTTTGTCACCCCTGCTTTGTGAAACAATCTTCCGGCAGTAACTTTTTTATGATCACTACAATCTTAACATTTTCAAGTCTAGAGTTAACCATTATTTTTTCTACATAACCTCACATACTGTACTTCTTGATTTTTCCTACGCTCATACAGCACCACAGAGTAACCATCTACCTTGAGTGGCTCCTGGGCTTTATATAAGGTAAACATTAGTAGAAAGATTCAATAAGTTTTTTTTTTGCTGTGCTATATCAAAGCCTTTTTTTAATCTATGAAACTTAGTTATAAGTCTTTCTGTTTTTGTATTGTTAACTGACAGTATTCTGATCATGGAAATAGCATTTCTTGTTCCAGTATCTTAAATAAAGTTACATTTTTTCCATTAATTCACGGTTTAAAGCGCTCTATTAGATAGAGATTAGATCATATGTTTATAAATTATACTTATGAGGATTATTATATGATAGTGTTCGGATTTATATGGAATTGTCTTCTTTGGCACCCTTATGAAAATATAACCACTGAGTTCTTCGCTGCTCTCATATATTGCAATTATTATTTCAGTAATCTTATTGAACCCGAAATTGTCTAACGCTGACAACATCTCTATTAAAATCCCATCGGTTACTGCATCTTTCTTTCCGTTTCTGTTGACCAGTGACGATCTTACATAAGATTTTAATACTATAGATATTTTCATGTTTTTTTTAAGGTTGTATTATCTCCCCTACTGGTCATGGAAGTGTTCTCCAATGCATTCATTCTATCTTTGAATAATTTTTAAGGTTCATTCCCTTTTCAGATATCCATACATCTTGTGTTTTCTCATGTTGTTTCTTTTATCTTTTACTGTATACGTGCCATGTTTATACCCACTGATAATTCTCTTCCTGTACATTTCTCATTAATCCATTCGTCTTTTATCTGATTATATTTATATCGAATGTTAGGATTTTAATTTAATGCCAAAAGGAGATAAACCATACATTGTCACAAAAAAAATAAAATAAAATTTCTCAGCTTTTATATTTTTATTCTGTTAGATCTAATATTTAATAAATATTTTATTTTCTTATTTCTCAGAAAATGCCTCACACCTTTGGGTTGCGTATTCCAATGAGAATTATTTCGCATATAAGCTCAGATTATTAAAAAAAGAACTTATTTTCTATGTTTAATGACGATTGTGAAATTGTTTTATAAATACAAATACATCTAAAATTTCTGCTGAATCTTTTATTATTTTTAATATTCAAATAAATTATTAAAAAAAGATCTATATTTTTACTAGTTAAATAATTATCATTAATATCACGTTGATGTTTTAAGCAATAAAAATATTAGAAATAACAAACACATAATTTATCTAAGGTTAAAATGCTTAGATTTTGTCGTTTGAACTTACCACATACAACTGTAAATCGAACGTAGAATATGAATTCTAAACAATTAGAAACTGGTTCATGTCGGCCATCTTTATTCATGGAAATGTGCACGTGTGCTTCGCACCACGATTCAGCCGGCGGGATAAAAAGAAGAAAAACCACATCGTCCATCATGATAAGCGCGTTACCATTTTTAAGTATCAGTTGAGATAACAGCTGAAATGATATGGTAAGATTAGGCGTTGTGCGGAGATTTTGGTAACGTGTGGAACACATATGTTTAAAGAAGAGTTGTGTATTGTAAATGAAAACTTAAAGGAGTTCGTTAAAAAAGGCTTTTCCAAAAGAAAAGAACATAGAAGTGTGTCTTAACAGAAGCAGGAAGCGAAACAAAAATGATCTAGAATCATACACATACCTACAAATAGATAGTATATACAAATATAGGTATTTGTATTTATATATCAGTATTTATAATTATACATTTTGCAAGTAATGTGGATTTTATGAATAGAAGAATTTAATGCTTTTTTATCACACGGGAAACTTGTGTTTTTCCTAATCTTTGAAATATAATTTTTTATCTGCATTTGAAGAGATGCTTGGTAACAAAGTTTAACCGCAAAAGAAGAATTTGTAAATTGATCCCGAATTTAATTTTCACACATTTGAGAAAGAGAATACACATAACGGCACTTTATTTCACTGCCAGGAAACATAATAAAAATGTTTTGTTACTTGCAAAGCACGGTATTTAACGGATAAGTGTGTGGGTTAGGAGTTGGGTAAACCTCTCTCACAATTGTTGTTCATCTTCACAGGTGATGTAAATCTCAGAATTCAAACATCAGACTTTTATTTGAATTTAATTATTTACCAAAGGCATCAGAATGAAATATATATGGATAACAACAGTTTAGTTTTGGCCTTTGAGTAAATTTTAGCAAGCTTGTCTAACTGAAGAATACTTATGTGCTTTGAATTCGATCCTCAGTAAATACATAAGTGCGTTCTATACAAGCCACATGTAGGCTTTAAAATTCTTCCGTATCTATATTTCTAAGATGTGGTATTATGTACACTATTTACATTATTCAGACTATTGTCCTCATCTTTGTCGCCATATTTATTACGTTTCGGCCGTTGCATGCTCCGGCCTTCTTCAGGTGGTTGGAATGTCGAACTGAGCCCTTTATTTCGCTCACTGAGGTAGACTGTTCCAGTTCCACGTGTCATGTCTAATGGATGTCAGTTATCTCCTGTTAATTCCCCATTTTAAGTTCTCCAATGTCTTAACCAGGTATTGAACTCACACTCTTAATACCCAGAATAATATCCAGAAATTCATATACAGATGTCCCCAAGGATACATGGCACAGTGGATAAAGGGGTTAGATCCAGTGACAGGATCGAAAGAGTGTGAGTTCAATACATGGCTAAGGCGAGAACAGAGAGAAGAATAAACAGGTGATAACAGACATCCATTAGACAAGGCACGTGGAATAGGAACAGTCTACCCCAGTGAGGGAAATAAAGGGTTTAGTTCGACAATCAAAACAACTGAAGAAGGCAGGAGCGTACAACGGCCGAAATGTTGTAATAAATATGGCGACAAAGATGATGACAATAGTCCGAATAATGTAAATAGTGTTCAAAATTCTTAACGCTAGCTTAAAAGAGGCACATATATATATGTAAGTATATAAGTAAATGACAAATACATTAGTAATATGCTCAGGCATACAATAATTTGTATAGGATACAAAAAAAAGAAGGAGGAAGAAATGAAATAAGAAATATATTCAATTACATGCAGGCCTTGATAGAAGCAAAGAAAATGGAGAGGGTAATGAATGGATACTAGTATTGAGAAAACTGACGAATTTTCGTAGTTAGATATGGTGAAGAAATTAGATACAAGAAAAATGATAGTTACAGATTTCTAGTATAGGATCGATTTTGTGAGGACATTCAGTGAATATTGATCTTATTATACAAATGAACGATTTGACAGAATTCTGGAAATATATTCTATGACATGTGGTCGTATTGTAAGAGAACATTTGAGCCGGAGAGCATGAGAGAGAAATAGAGAAAAGCACGAGAAATGATCGATGCAAGGAAAAAAGGGGCAATGAAACGTGTAGAGGAAAGAAAAGCAAGGAGAAAATACGAGAAGGAAAATGGGAAATCTAAATAAGCAAGGAAAAAAAGCGAATTTTGTAATAGAAGAAAGTAGAAGAAGAGAGTGAAGGAAGTTAAAATTAATGTGTTTATAAAATTTTCGGGATTAATGATGGCGAGGTGACAATGTTGCAGGTTAGGAAAGAAAGAGGAAATGTGGAAGCGAATTTCTGTGAAGTAAAAAGCCTTTGGTCCATGCAGACGATTATATAAATGGAATGTATTTACATTATTTGGAGTGTTGAGTTAAAGGGAAATAACTGATACATCCGGAAGAGGGGTGGCACGGGGAACTAGAACAATCTATCACGGGGGAGGAAGTAAAGGGTTCAGTTCGAAATTCCAGTCACCTGAAAAAATCCGGAGCGTACAACAGCTGAAACGTTGTGAATATGGCAATGAAGATGAGGATAACAGTCCAAATAATGTAAATAATGTAAACAATCATAATACCACATCTCAGAGATATAGAGGCCGAAACGTTGTGAATATGGCAATGTAGATGAGGATAACAGTCCAAATAATGTAAATAATGTGAATAATACATAATCTCAAAGATATAGAGGCCAAAACGTTATGAATATGGCAATGAATATGAGGATAACAGTCCGATTAATGTAAACAATGTAAACAATCATAATACCACATCTCAGAGATATACACAGAAATGGTGTCTAACTGTACAAAACAAATTAAATGCTAGGAAAAAAAACGAAAAAAAAGATGAAAAAGGAAAACGTAAATGAGATACTTTTCAGAACAGAGGTACACAATTTTGATTGGTCATAGTCTAGTGGGGGGGGGTAGGAGAGTACTACATAGTTATATAGAGAAGGTGAAAGAATACTGTTTTCCAAACTATTCTGCAAAAAGCTATATCTCACTCAGTCATTGTGGCATGCCAGTGACTGATTATCAGGATATAAGTATATATGTGCATAAAAATATTTGTTTACATGGAAATCGATGAGTGTTGTTTTTTTTACTAATTTCCTTTCGTTCTTTGCATTCACACATAATTGACGCAATGTGCCAACTTCAATTTAGCACAATTTAACTTTGTCAAATTAAATTAAATATATTTCAATATAATTAATCTCTATTATATACGTATGAAATATTAATATCAGTGCTCATAAATTATTAATATCTCGCACTTTCTCTCTCACACTACTTATATTTATGTTTATAGATATATATTGCTTAGGTGCCTGTGCATATATACAGTCTGAAAATTAATTTAAATAAATATTTAACAGTACACACGGATATGGTTTTCAAAAATTCCATCTTCGTTCGAATATTTTCATATCAATCATTTAACGCACACACACACACACACACACACACACACACACATATATATATATATATATATATATATATATATATATATATATATATATATATATATATTGGAGATTTAAACAGGTTAATTAATCATTTTATTCAATGTCAAGTTTTAGTTTTGGACTGTTATTCTGATATGAACGTTGGACTATTTTTTCATTCTTGATTCTCCTAACATTAAGTTATGGTCAATTCATATACTTCAAAAATACCACTGTTTTCATCAACTACTGCTTAGTGATAAGAACAAGTAGAAAAGTATTAAGATAACATTATAAAATTCCTCAATTCCGTCTCCCTTTCTCAATCACTATCTATATAGCATTTTCTTAGCATTTCTTATGATTTATTGTTATCTGTCAGCATCAAGTACTATTTCAAAAAAGATGAACTCTTCCTTCTAAATTTTGGTAAGATACATCAATCCAAGATTTGCACTGGAATATTGATCATTCTGTTTTTATTGTTTTTTACTACAACCATTCAGAGGATCATTTCTACAATCGTCTTCATATGGATAATGCGTAAGGATAGGTTTTTGTTTATCAGTATATAAAAGGCACAGAAAGTAAATCCTGGAAAATATGCCAATCGGATGAGAAGCAGCAGTACATTCTTCAATGATGACCATTTCATATTATGATAAAGAAATAGCCAGGAAGTGAAAAATGTTGCAAATCTTATGGTATCCAGTTTGGTCGACCTCCTATAAGTTTCAGAATTGTACGGCTTCTTTGTAATGTGGGGGAGCAAAATATGGAACAGTTGACCTCAAGAGAGTAAAAGATGCAGTAAAAGATTGGAAATACAATGACAATAACATTTCCATATGGAAATATTTGACGAATGTTGATAAATAACAATATCGTATTATAAAAATGTCGTTAGAGTTACTGGATTGTTGATCGATCGACAAAATTTTTGCAAAACAATATAAAATAAAAGCGGTAGTTGGATCTACGGGCTTAAGTAGATATTTATTTTTATACCTTATACGTTCTTTTCTCTTATTTAGCAAGGCCGGGTTATCTAAATGTTGTAAAATAAATATTTTTTCAACTAAACATAAGTTAGATTTATTTCCCTTGACATTAAACGGTTTATCCCTTGCCATTATATTCCATATAATTGAAGGTGAATTGCCGAAATCTTTCAATTTTCAGAAATACTTCGAGAGAACATTGATGTTTCTGTATTTAATATTGTCCAAAGTCAGACGGTGATGGTAGAAACGAATCTACCAAGGGTTCTGAGTAGAAACAAAATAGAATTAAATTTCGCTACTGGAGCAAATACACGCTCGATATACAATTTTGTCGGTCATACATTGACCATTTAATGGACATATCATATTTTTTCGTCAATTGCATTTATTTTCGAAAAAACGTTGTCTTTTTTAGGACTCATGTATTTTCATGATAGTTTATAGTTTATGCCAATTATTTTATTTGCTAAATTAAATGTCGTAAGAATTTTAATTAATTTTAAAGAATAATTTTAAAAAAGTTTTTGAAAAAATTACATCCCAGTATAAATAATGCTTAACTACGTCAGCATTTTGATAACTGATATATTCTCAAATTAAATACAAATAATTTGTCAGTTTACACGCAGCACCTGAAGATCATGTTTGGCATAAACCCTAGTAGGGGAAAACGGTGAAGCATATTATAGTTCTGTTATACAACATCGAGCACTGTTTGTATAACACCTGCAATTTGTGTGTAATTCATATATTTACATACACACACTATATATATATATATATATATATATATATATATATATATATATATATATATATATATATATATATATATATATATATATATATATATATATATATATATATATATATATATATATATATATATATATATTATGAGAGAGATGGAAAGAAAGAAAGCAAGAGCAAGAGGGCAGGGTGAAGTAATGGATAGCGGTTTGGATTGAGGAATAGGAGAGCAGAGTTCGAATTCCAGTCGAATCCATTACATTCACTTACGTGCAAATACCCTTAGGAACGGCATGAGTCCTCTTCTTCGCCCTCCACAGACTGGGTTCTATAGCCTTGGATACCAATTATTCTAAGAGAAGGACAACTCTGAATTGAAAACCTGCAGAGGGTCGTTTGTACATAAAGACTCTGTATTCGGTCCTTTAATTAAGCGCGGATGGTTCTGCACAAAACCTTCACCACTATAATTAAATATCATGTACTGGTTTCGGGCTCTCAGTTTCCTATGAACTGATCTGCTAGATCTTCATACGTCGACTGTAGAGTCGAGTATATATATATATATATATATATATATATATATATATATATATATATACGTTTTTTTTTTACATTTTTCATTCAGTGTGGGGAGTTTCATACGAGTATAACTAAAGATCGAACTGACGGGTTTTAGAAACCAAAATGTTGAACTGACAGGTAGTGAAATTTGGCAGAGTTTTATATTAACAAGGTTCGCGTCCAGGGCAAATTCTGAATGAAATACGTCTTTTTACATATGCTTCAGGTTGATATTCGGGTCCAGTGAATAAGATTAGATTTTCAACCGACTTACATTGTGTGAAGAACAAATTCTTTTTTAAAAATTCAGATACAAATTGTTTGGTCAGCTTGATTGAAATATCGCTCAAGGCTCAACAAAGTTACGGCTTTAATAAATTCTATGCAATTCTTCTTTTAGAGATGCCTATTGCAAATTTATCACATTTTAATCAACTTAATTGTTGCTTAATCAAGTAAAATAGACACGAACAACTAACGTAAACAGTCGCCGAGTTTTGCTCACTGGTGTTTTCTTCTGCTTCATCGATTGATTCCCATCTTTATTCAACTATATCACTCCCTACGGTCTTTGTTTAATCGAAGTTCAATGTGTTTTCATATCGATATAAATACCCGTCTGAGCAGCTGTATCAGTTGACGCAGACGGTGTGAAAATTCGTCACGGGTGGGGAATGCTGGGGAGTCATTTGATGCAAACGGGTCGGCGCGCTGTGGGTGCAACGCTTGCGTTACACTGGAGAGTAAATGAGATCAAAAGAAAGTAAAAAGTTATCAAAAATTATGCAAACAGAAACGCAGTGTCTGACAAATGTGAAAAGCGCTTCAAGTAATCAAATACTGCGGACATTGACTTAGAAAACACTCTCTTCATGATACTGTTTTCCATGTCTCAATGCTTAAGGCGAACAGTCAACAATGAATGACAAGACATTTGTCAGAATAAACAGGAAAATCATATCGTTGGAAATAAAGTGTATTCATGTGTTTTATTGCTTTTTTAATATTTGATCGACAAATTGCATTATTATAGAACAAATCTAGGTTTTTAATAAGTCGAAGAGGGATAAGTTCAATTCCCCTTTTGTCTCTTTCTTTCTATTTTTCTATCTCCGTTTTCTGTCATTCTTTCTTATGCTTCTTCTTTCTCTTCCTTTATTTCTCTCTTTCTTCTTCCATATTCATCTCACCCTTTCTTTTTTCTTTCTTTTTTTTCTATTTTCATATCTCCCTTTTTTCTTTGTTCTTTCTTTTTTTATTATTCCTTTTCTTTCTTTCGCTTTTTATTTACCCGTTCTTTTTCTGTAATTTTCCCTTTCTTTCCTTTTTTCCCAGCATCGATGTCGCTCACCCCTGCCTTCATATCTTTTATTTTAATTTAGTAATTAATTTAACATTCAGTAAATTTATTATAATAGAAACCCAATATTAGATAAATGTTTTAGAAAGTTGCGTCAAACTGTCATGCATGAAACAGCCCGAATGATAATCGTACAATTGAGAAAATAGCGAAACATGTGGAGCAGACATTTTTTCGTATGCCAACTTTTCTCGGGTGACGGTGTCTTTAAAATTAAGTAAAATTGAGGGAAAAGAAACAGTGATATTAAAACCCCGAAACAGCCTGAAAATATTTATTTTAGGTCTTCCTTTAATTACCAAAGAAATATGATTTGAAAAAAATGGTCATTTTCGAAAATCATTATACTATTTTTATTGCAGGATGTTTAAATTTATATGCAAATTAGTTCCTATAAAATCCTTTCATTGTCCAGGTATATAATTAGACGCTAATCCTGTTGAAAATTATAATTTTCCTTAAATGACGACGGTATCTTTGCAATTATCCCTGCAATTGCACTAAGAAAATGTGCTCTGGAACTGATTCCTGTTTTCTCCAATCTCTAAAATAAATGCCTTCCAGATTTTTGTTTTGCCGAATGATGTAAATTTTCTTCTGTAGTTCCTGTCTTTAAGAACTCTGTTGAAGCCTCAGAACCATCGAATTATTGCTCTCTTAGTCTTTTACTTTCGGGGGGCGGTGAGTACTAGAATTGGTTAGGCATCTCATTGAACAGGTCTTTCTTTTATATAAACAATATAGCTTTCTTTTCTCTAGGTCAACCACGGTTGTATTAACGGTTATCATTGTTTTTGTCAATAAGGCTTTAGATAAGAACCACAAGTCTTGCGCTGTAGCTTTAGTTATCTCGAAGTCGTTTGACAGGGTTGTGCATGTCGACATTCTCACATGCTTAAGAGTTATCATCTCTCTAGTCGAATTTACATAATCCAATCATTCTTAAAAAATCTTGCAACGGTGATTGTATTCAGCGTTTACGCTTCTAGATATGGATGTGATAAAGAAAAATCTAGCAGAACATCTCAAACATTGCTTCGAATTAAGTTGTCAGCTGGAATAAGAAATGACATGTACATTTTAACGATTTGAAAACTAAATTTATATTTTTTAATCATCGTAGAGAACCTTCTTAGCCTTGCAGCAGTATGGTCTCTGCTGAGCATTTAAAAGAGAATCTCATTGCATCTTTTTGGTCCTATGATTTCCACTAACATGATACGGAAAGATTATATTGAATAAATTGCTAGCTTTTCCACTGGGAAAGCTTGTTCACTGTATCGGTTGTGGTAAACCTTTCTACAGTAGAATGAACTCTTCCTCCTCTCATAAATACTATCTACGAGAGTCGGTTGAGGGGAGAAGACGCAGTGCTCACCTGCCGTTCGGACGTATACCGCTATCTACTTATTACTAATACTCTTGCTTTGTATATATCTTCAATATACTAGTTCAACCTGCCTTTGTCTTCCGTGTCTTTATTTCTGGCCCCTAAACAGGCCACAACAGTATTGTACCAGATAATTGTCCAAACCAGATTCATATTGCATATTTATACATCTACTATTTGTACGTGAACTGGATATTACTATCATACATGGTCTATTGATCTTGCTATATATCTCGAGATATCTGACAAAGTCCAAAGAAGAGTCTTTAAAATTATCTGCTTTGACATCTCGATTTTAGTCAGTTTTCTACCGCCATGACGTGGCTCCCTTCTGTATTTTCTCTCAATAATTTCATGGTAATTGATTTAAAACGTCCTCGTCATGGTACCCCAACTGCGTGAATTTAAACGTACTGCTAGCATGGCAAGTGGGTCTCATCGTTCTACTGTTGAAATAGATAGATTTATGCCTTAATCTTATTCTGATAAATAATTTTCTTGTAACTATCACCTGTGTAACCCCCCAAACCCACAGTTTTTTCTTCACTTTCACCTACGTAATTGTAAAATTTAAATGTCCCATCATTCGCCATCTTGCATCTCCTGAATCCTGTTCTTTTACTGATCGTCTTCCTCACTCAAACCTTAATGACATTATCAGCTTCTTAATAATAATAAAAAATAGTAAAGATAAGTGTTGTCATTTTAAATAACGGACTGTATTTATATGTAAATTATTTCTAACATTAGTAGGGACTGTCATATCTATTGCATGGTGTAAGTGAAATATATGCCTGTAATCAATGATATAATCGATATGATTATAAATTGTATAACTTGAAAGAACGGAGGATCAGAGAATGTGGAAGATTCAAGGATATTTTTATCAATCTATCCTCATCTATTGACACAGGAATTATCAGGCGTCTGTATGCAATCCGATTGCTATTTTCACTCGGTCAGTATGACTGAGGGAATGTAGAAATCGAATTGAAAAGAAACAACAGAAAAAGGCAGTAAAATTTAGAAAGTCGTACACTATTTTTGACGACAATTGGGTTCAATTATGAAAGAAAGTGTTATTAATACAAAGCAAATTTTCTCACGAAAATAAATGATGTAAACTTCATTTGTTGCTTTGAGATTCAGATACACCGCAACATCGAAGTAAATGTTGGAAACATTACTGGACCCCTACCAGAAATAAATAAACTTTTATACCATAAAAATTAGAAACGTGCCAGTAATGATACCCGCCACCTGCCTTGGAATTCGAATCAAGGTAGAATTAGTTAAAAATAAGACGAAACATTTAAAATCTCCGGTCCACAAGGAGGCTGTGTTCTGTAATGATTTTCCAAGCGTAGCACAGATGTGACACAAGGCCGAAAGTATGGAGCACTCAGGGTGGATCGAACTCACTACTCAGTCATAATTGTTCTAGCGAGACAAGCTTGCTAACCATTACACTACCTCGAGGTGCCCTCTGTGTCTTGTAATGGTATTGAAAAAAGTCAGTCAGTGTAAGAACGCACATTCTTGTATTGTTAGTGTAATTGTTGTTTTTGCTGCATTTTGCTTTGCTTTGTGTAGTACGAGATGTTCACATGACTCAACCAAAGACATAAAATGGCAATTCTTTTTTATTCGTATCAGAAAATGCAAACAGATGAGGTGCCATCCAAAAGATATATAATAATGGTCACTGCAGGGATACAAATCTATGAAAGACGTGAGCAAGTGTATGATTTATTGCAATTCTCATAATTTTAGGGCTACAAGGTATTTACTTCACATAGTTTTGGCTCGTTTTCCTATAATTTCCAAAACCCCAATGGAAGCAGATAATGTTGGTGAGTTGCTACGTTCTACTCATGTCTATCAATTTATTAATAATAATCCTTTAAAATTTTTCTATCAACACAGATCAAACAATACAAGCCAAAACATGACATGACAGAAAACGCTTGCATATTGAACGTACCAAGTGGCAAAAACATCCCCGAGAAAACATTTCAAAAACTAAGCAAATAAAAAAAAAACACCTGGGGGTGAAAATAGAAAATATGTAACGCTTAATGACTAAGACTATTTCTGTTGTGGTTGGAGCTTTGGGTTTGATAAAGAAAGGAACTCAACAGAAAATCAACAAAATCATTGGTGAACCATCTCTCCAGGAAATCCAAAAAATATTTTGAACACGCAAAACCCATATCATGGGAAGAGGTTTTTCCATTTAATTAATTTTTGATAATAAATTTATTTTGTTTAATTGGGGAAAACAACAAAAATAAAGAATAATATTCACACCAAATAGAAACTGTGTCAAGTTTTATGAATCACACCATATGTTGGATAAAAAAACATTTAATGTAACGATATGAATTAAAGAACAACTGGAAAAGAAAACACGCTAGCAATTGGAGATCAAAGTCACTTATTAAAAATAAAAGATAGGTCAATTAAACAAATTAAAAGAGAAAATGAAAAATATTATCGGCCATAAACTTTTAATTAATAGTAAAAACTAAAAGTACAAAAATGGACCCGGATAAATTGGGGCAAGCATTCTGTATGAATTGAACATGCAATGAGGTTCAATAGTAAACATCAAGAGTATAAGGAGGTTACAGCTATGTAGGGAAATTTAACAGTATAATATTCAGAGGTTTTGAAATTCGCAAGAATCACACTTGAGTTAATGGATCATAATTATTGCTACAATTGGTTGGATGTTATTATTATTATTATTATTATTATTACATTAAGAGAATAGCGCGTTTTAAGAAAAAAAAGAAAAAGAACTGATACAATTTTTAACAATTTGTAAAAATATATCGACAATATATCTGTTTGCTTCATGTTATGTTCAAAACGGGTATACAAGTATAAAAAAAATTTTAAAAATTCAAAAAATCGCTGGATATTGAGAAAAAACGGTAGTACTGGTAATCAAACTAACAAAGTGAATTAAACGTAGCCACTGTGACTGGAATGCAACTTAAACGTGAGTAACATGATAGGGGCGTGCTCATATTGAAATTCTCCGTGAGTTGATTAGTTAGTAATAGAAATTAATTAAATAGAATCGTATAAATCT